TAGGACATCTTTCATTTACAAATGTATTTAATTATATTAATTATATTTTTATTACATAAAATATGATGCAGCACAACTTTTTTTTTAGAAAGGTAATGTTTTACTGAGATTTAGTAGATTTCTTTTTATTAGATTCCTAAATTTTAGTTGAATATTTTTCAATTTTTTATTTTATATTTAATCTCAAAGTTGCAATTTCTGTAATGCATTTTTGTGCTTATGCATCACTGTAATTTAGTGACATGATTTATTTACTGATTTTCAGGCAAAACTGTCACATCTGGGTCTGACCAAGTTTCAAAAGTACTTCCCCAGACCTCTGAGCAGCAAAAGTGTGTGAGTGGAACAAGTCCCAGCCATCGACGAATACTTTGCTTTGACGTTACACCTGAAAACTCTGCAGTTGGGCAAAATTCCTTACAGACAAACACACCCGCATCCTCTGCTGTTACATCCTCCCCGACTCAGCAGACTCGGAAAGAAATCGCACCCACTAAACCGAAACAGCCTTTAGTTTCTGACAATTGTAAAAGAAGAATAGATACAATAAGAGTGCCAGAGGTACATCCCAATGCAGTTATAAAGAACTCTGAAAAAATCACCATATTTCATCAACAAAAAGAACTCCCAAAAAGTAAAGTAACAGAAAAGGGATTAAATCGAATCATTGTAAATACCAAGTCTTCCAACAAAGCTGCAACTGAGCCAGAGTCTCACATTAGATCAGAATCACCTAAAAAATCACAGGAGGATGGTGGTGTGGTTTTACAGAGTTCAAAATCATCTGATCCGGGGCCAAAGCAGAAGCCAGTAGGCAACACAAAGGACAGCACACAAGAAGAATCTTGTGAAAGTACGCTTTTAAAACCAGCAGAGAGTTCCTCAGAGAAAGCTTCCTTACAGGACTCTCCAGGCATCACTGCAAATAAAGAAAATGAGCTGGAAAGCTGCCATCATCAGACATCTGCACGCCCTGCTGAGGATCTTGTATCTTCTACAGCAAAATCGCCGGCACCCGTATCAGGCACTTCCAATAAAACTTTATGCAAGACGAGCCCCCTAACAAAACAAGCCGCTGAGATGCTGCAAGACATACAGGGCCAGGGTCCTGCGGACACTCCACCGAAGAGGCCGGCAGCGAGAGGTCCAGATCTACCTCTCCCAAGAACACCTGGACCAGGACGTGCACAGGAGGAGCAGATGGAGGGTTTGAGAACCCCGTCACGGCAAAGACTTAGGAGGGAGGGTGAAAGCACGCCGAGGCATCTCCCCCCTCCCGCCACACCTGATATCCCCTCCTCCAGTCCTGCCAGCGAGGCGGGGAGTGAGAACAGCATCAATATGGCCGCCCACACTCTCATGATCCTGTCACGCGCCGCCAGGACAGGAGGTCCTCTGAAAGACAGCTTGCGTCAAGAGGAGGCCAGTGCTGGGAAATCCGCCATCCCTAAAGCAAAGAAACGAAAGCAACTTGAAACAAGCCCTCTGGCAAAGAAAGAGCTACAGCTTTCCAGCTCCTCAAGCAGTAAAAAGAAATCTAAGGTGAGTTATTGACCACGTCTCAACCTACCCAGCTGCCTTGATAGCTTTTTTTATATATAGCCATGTAGCAATAGTAGCGAAATTATGCTTTTGAAATAGCTTATTTATGCCAAATCTGAAGCAACATCACATATCCTACATTTTAAGGCAACTTCAAAATATCATGTGAGAAACTTAGGCCCCGTCCACGCTACTGCGTTTTCATTTAAAAACGGAGACCTTTTACTACGTTTGCACCTCATGTCCAGACTAAAACGGAAAAAACGAAGACCTAAAACGGAGAAGTTTAGGAACGCTGCAGCTCTGTTTTGCGTTTTGAATCTCCGGAGGGTGTTTTAGTCAAGACGGGACAAAATGGAGGAGATTAGAAACATAGACGGTATAAGAAATGGACAGTGATCTCATTGGAATTCCATTGAGACAATTGAAGCCCGTTTTTGGCTTTTTTTTTTTTTTTTTTTTTTTTTTTTAGCACTTCCGTCCCTGACGCGCAGACTCAAACAGAGCTTGACGATGTAGATGTGACGTGAGCAAACGGTCTGTCTTCTAGTGGCTGTAGCATGAGAAATCTCGAAATCTGAATCATTCCCTTCCGAAACTTGCAGAGGTGGAGAGTGTGAGTAGGAGCTGTCCATGAGCTTGCAGCAGGAGAAACTTTTGGCTTTATGCCCAGCTGCACTACTTCCTGAACTTCAGCCATCTCCTTGTTTCCTGTGTGCCATCATTGGCCAAATTGATTAATTCAGGTGTGTCTGATTATTGTTGCCATGACTACTGAGGTCAAGCACACCTGAATTAATCAATTTGACCAATAATGGCAGACAGGAAACAAGGAGCTGGTGAAGTTCAGGAAGTAGTGCAGCTGGGCATAAAGCCCAATTTTGTCATTTTGCCTCCACGTTTCCCCGATTGCGCGTGAGCTTTCACTAAAACTGCTTCTACGGGGCCATAACTACAAGGTAATGGAGCATTTTATACATTGTCGTGTTTCTTTAGAAATAAATAAAGGACAAATGGGGTCTTCAAACGCCTCAGATGTAAAGTTATTTGCTGTCAAAGTGACACCAAAATGAATGGGAGTCAATGGGAACGCTAACACAAGTGAAGTTCTGCTACAAGATATCAGCTCCCGCGAGGCTTCCACTTCCGGTCGATGGATTACCCCCTTGGTAGAAACGATGATTCGTCAGCCACTGTTTACACCGGCACATGCAAGCCCAGTGTTGGTGAATGGTCACGTAATCTGCGTTTACAGTCGTTTTAATGTGGACTGTGATCAATTCTAATACGCAGATAAAACGCTACTGTGAACAGAGATTGTATTCTCCGTTTTTGAAACGAAAACGCAGTAGTGTGAATTCGAATTCCCTTTTCTTTTTCAGAAACAGAAGAAGCTGCTGGACTCCTTTCCCGATGACTTGGATGTGGACAAATTCCTGTCATCCCTGCATTATGATGAGTAACGACGCTGAGGACAAGCCATGCTATTCGCCAGCAAATCAGGGACAAAACAAGCCATGTGTGTGACTGAGAGTGATCTATTCAGCAGAGTTACCGAATCAAAATAGCTGCTTTCTGTTTTATATCCAGAATGTGAGATATTGTACATATACACCATGATAGCCTAGTAATAATTTGCATACTTAGAAGATGTTTATATGCTGGCCCCGACTAATTTGGCACTCTTCAAATAAAAAAAAGGAAATAATTTAAGAATAAACTGTAATTATTGACTATGTATGTGAAAGAGTGTCAGTTCATTTGTTTCACTGCACCAGCTGTTATTTAGTTCATTGCCTCTTTATTTTTTACTTAACTGGACCTTTTCCATCAGCTGCACTATGTGACTACATTTTTGTGAACATAAGTTCCTCTGTACATCCTCTAGGTGGTATTCTTTCTTTACAGTACTAAGAGGGAAGTTAAATGTTATTGTTTTCTGTCCTTTAGATGGTTTATTATTTTATGAATTTTAATAAATCATTATTTTATTAATTATGTCATGTCTAATAATTGATTTCCATGTGTTATTTCTTAGCATGTTTATTTGGAGCAGTTCTGCAGCACTTGCATGACCATATATATATATACACTCACCGGCCACTTTATTAGGTACACCTGTCCAACTGCTCGTTAACACTTAATTTCTAAGCAGCCAATCACATGGCGGCAACTCAGTGCATTTAGGCATGTAGACATGGTCAAGACAATCTCCTGCAGTTCAAACCGAGCATCAGTATGGGGAAGAAAGGTGATTTGAGTGACTTTGAACATGGCATGATTGTTGGTGCCAGAAGGGCTGGTCTGAGTATTTCAGAAACTGCTAATCTACTGGGATTTTCAAGCACAACCATCTCTAGGGTTTACAGAGAATGGTCCGAAAAAGAAAAAACATCCAGTGAGCGGCAGTTCTGTGGGCGGAAATGCCTTGTTGATGCCAGAGGTCAGAGGAGAATGGCCAGACTGGTTCGAGCTGATAGAAGGGCAACAGTGACTCAAATAACCACCCGTTACAACCAAGGTGGGCAGAAGAGCATCTCTGAACGCACAGTACGTCGAACTTTGAGGCAGATGGGCTACAGTAGCAGAAGACCACACCGGGTGCCACTCCTTTCAGCTAAGAACAGGAAACTGAGGCTACAATTTGCACAAGCTCATCGAAATTGGACAATAGAAGATTGGAAAAACGTTGCCTGGTCTGATGAGTCTCAATTTCTGCTGCGACATTCGGATGGTAGGGTCAGAATTTGGCGTCTACAACATGAAAGCATGGATCCATCCTGCCTTGTATCAACGGTTCAGGCTGGTGGTGGTGGTGTCATGGTGTGGGGAATATTTTCTTGGCACTCTTTGGGCCCCTTGGTACCAATTGAGCATCGTTGCAACGCCACAGCCTACCTGAGTATTGTTGCTGACCATGTCCATCCCTTTATGACCCCAATGTACCCAACTTCTGATGGCTACTTTCAGCAGGATAATGCGCCATGTCATAAAGCTGGAATCATCTCAGACTGGTTTCTTGAACATGACAATGAGTTCGCTGTACTCAAATGGCCTCCACACTCACCAGATCTCAATCCAACAGAGCATCTTTGGGATGTGGTGGAACGGGAGATTCGCATCATGGATGTGCAGCCGACAAATCTGCGGCAACTGTGTGATGCCATCATGTCAATATGGACCAAACTCCCTGAGGAATGCTTCCAGCACCTTGTTGAATCTATGCCACAAAGAATTGAGGCAGTTCTGAAGGCAAAAGGGGGTCCAACCCGTTACTAGCATGGGGTACCTAATAAAGTGGCCGGTGAGTGTATATATATATACACACACACACACACACACACACACACAGGCACAATTGATGATAATAATAAATGTTATTAAAAAGCAAATCAGCATATTATATATATGGAGGATCATGTGACACTGAAGTAATGATGCTGAATATTCAGCTTTACCATTACAGGAATGAATTTCATTTTAAAATATATTTAAGTTAAAAATGGTTGTTATAAATTGTACTATTTAACAGTATTGCTTTTTTTTTGCTGTATTTTTGGTCATGAATACATCATTGGTGAGCATAAATGATCTTAAATGTTACACAACATGTTTTGGTGAGCCAACATAATGCATTTAAATGTGATATGTATTGTGGCTTGTATGTAAAAAATGTGGTCACTGAGAAAGTCAGGGTAAGCGAGGACTTGTTAGAGCTGCAGGCTACAATAAATCATTCCCCATGCAGCTCTTGAACATTCTCTATACTCGTATATGGTCTGAGCCCATGATATTTTGATTACTAAGCCAAACTAGGTCAACAAGCCATATCAGTTTAAATCAGAGACGCTATGTGTCTGTGCTCTTAGTTCAGTTACGCCAGTCTTTTTTGCCTATTTTCTCATGCTTCCAGACCAGGACTGCATCAATTGTTTTTGTTTTTTTTAAGTGTCAAATGTACAATTGAAATAGCATCATAATACCATAGGCATTCACATGAACTAAAAGTCAAGTGAAAATATGGTTTTGCTTATTTTCTCACATGATGTTAACTAAACGAGTTTACTACCGTAATGATGATGCTTTATGTTCAAAGTTATTTTAAGTAATATAGTCAATCAGAGATATGCAGATATGTTTTCAAAGACACTGAATTTCTTCACTGATAATTCTGACCACATGTCATGAAATAACTTCATACTGTACAACTAAACTTATTTAACATTTGATGTATGAGGCACAATAGTCAGTCAAACATTTCCTTCCTGTACTTTTGATCAGTTGTTTTTGTCTCTTTTTTCAATTCTTAGCAGCCAAGCCAAGCATTAGTGTTGATAATGCGCAGCAAACGTCTTTTCTGATGGCTGAAGATAAATGACTTTGATCTGCAGAAGAGGTGAATATGGCCTGTTGAGAAAAACATGCATTTAATTTCAAGGGAACATGTTTTACAGAGAAAACAGATACTATGTAAAAAACGGCCATTACCACTGAGTTCAAAAGCTGCATCCACCTTCCCAAAAATGCTAGGCCAATCCGGATAAATTTTTCTTGGAAATCCAGGATCCATCACACTTCTTTTCTCATCATAACTACAAAATATGGATTAGTAATTACACGCACACCCTGCATTATTTTCTAACAGACGGAAGTCAATTATTCCATAATTATACTACATTTACCACACCTTAAGATGAGGTATAATGTGTGGTAGCGGGTGAGGGTCTAAAATGAGAGGGGGGTGGGATATACCTGAAATAGTAGTCTCCTGTGAAAAAGTAGGTCTTTCCGCGTTCACTGACATGAACAGCAGCATCTATTTGTTTTACTGTTTTTGGAAATCCAAACTCATAGATGGAGCCATAATAGCTCTTCGACTCCAGTTTGTGAACCACAAAATATTTAGGCCCTAATAAACAGAAGAATAAAGAAAAAAATGATTTTTAATGATTTTGAATAACTGTTTTCTATTTTAACATATTTTAAAATCTAATTTATTCCTGTGATGACATAATGCTGCATAATCAACATCATCATTTCAGTCTTCAGTGTCACATGATCCTTCAGAAATCATTAATATGCTGATTTGGTGCTTAATATTTCTTATTTTTATTATTAAAATAGATGTGCTGCTTAATATTTTTGTGAAATAAAGAGTTCAAAACTATTCCTTAAAGAAATCTCACTGAGCTTAAAGTTTTGAACGGTGTAGTGTTAGTGTACATGGAAAAGAACAATGACTCAATCGATCAAGAACACAACTATATTATAACAACACAGTGTTTAAATGAATCAAGTTTCAAAATACATCAGAATTATCTAATCAATTTATGAAAATCCATTCTTTAATGATAATGTTGATTTGGCAGCATGCTATTATTTATTAGTTTTTTTTTTTTTTTTTTACCTGTGAACACATATACCAGTCGTTTTGAAGGAATGTCATAGGCTGCATCTACAGGCGAGGTGACGCTCGGTAGAAAAACACTCTGAGGACCTTCTCTTAGTCTGTTCCGGTATGTCTTCCAGTTTGTTCTCATCCACATGTAACTAGAGACACCCACCCATGGTGCTGCATTGCTATTGCAACTCTTTACAAATCCCATTAGCTAATAAACAGTTGCATTATGTGAATGATTCAATGTTTACTGTGCTGCACCTAGTCTGCTATGTCCCGCTGTCCATGTTTCATCCTCGTCAAAGTGAACATCTCCTCCAGTTCCCTCTCCAGGGTCAAAAGCGTGAGCTAGCACCCCTCCAGGCCCATCGAAAGGGAAAAAGTCTCCATGTGCTATAGGTGAACAAATATTTCAGGTTTTTACATGTGTTTCCAAAGTATAAAAGTGAAGAAAATAAATTAGATTCGTTCAAAATGTACCTTTGGAGAGAAAAGAGAAGGTAATGTCTGCCCTGCCATGGTTTACTTGGACAAACTTCAGAGGAGCAGCATCACTCCATATATTTAGAGCCAAACGCAAGGAGTTCTCCACCTCTTCTCGACTGAGATCAGGGGTATATCTCGCAATCCTTAAGGATTCATATGAGCCACATTTTACAAAAGACATGCTGCAACCTGAGAGACTCCATGAGAGGAATAACAAACAAACAAAATCCTTAGGCTTTAGACACTAGTTGACTATTCTTAGTCAATAACACTAGAACCTATTAAAAACCAAGACACAGTTTTTGAAGGAATACTCGTACAAATTTGGATGATGACGCTCTAAATTTATAAAGCAAGTAAGAGGTAACGTTAACTATGCCAGACCTGTAAGTGATGGTGTTGCTCTTCCATTTGGACCATCCATGATAAACGCTGAAGTTCTCCATATCGGGTACTCCACATCTGGCCTCTTTCACCACGTGCACAGTTTTCTGATCCAGAAGACCACTTTCCTTCAGGTCAAAGAAATGCTGCATTACTCTGATCTTCACCTTCATGAGTTCTGCATGCCTTTTACTGCGACTGCGCATCTTCAGCTGATGTTCGTGTGGGAGTTGTTCCAGTCAGAAAATCAGCTTTAGTCTCTAGACTTTCAAAATTAGCATTTCAAATGAACATAAATAGGCTAATTATTATCAACAAATAAATATATTAAATTTGGCTTACAAATAATTGATTATTAATTATTTTACGTTTACTGTCCAGTTAAAAACATGCTAATACTAATATAAGTATTACTAGCCTGGGTTTACATACTGCCTTTGCGCAGGATGATTTCATTCACGCTGCAATGTCAATGAGACGTGGTCTGACGTTAGTCAGGCTAAAGTATTACAGGAATATGTTAAATTAATTAGAAATTATAGTTGGTATGTATTTTTAATTAATAAGTAATCATTAATAATTATAATCACTGATATATTATTAAGTATTCATGTAGATGTATTAAACTTAAAGGGTTAGTTGAAGTTCACCCAAAAATGAAAATTCTATCATCGTTTACTCACCCTCAAGTTCTTCCAAACCTCTATGTGTTTATTTGTTCTGCTGAACACAAAGGAAGATATTTGGAAGAATGTTTTAATCAAATAGATCTCAATCCCCATTGACTTCCATAGTAGGAAAAAATACATATGGAAGTCAATGGGGATTGGATTGAGATCTGTTTGATTAAAACGTTGATTCTTCCAAATATCTTCCTAATGCACTAATGCACTAATGCTAATTTGTCTAATACAAATCAAAGATGATCAGTGAAGTAAAAGATGTTAGATATGCAGCTTAGAGATATACATATTGCCAGACAAACCTCGGCATGTTGGATGTCCCGTGGGCTGGGGCTCTGAAGAGTCCTTACAATGTCTGTATTCAGCGTCCAACACAGCAAGATCCAAGGCCACAACCAGCTCATTTTGAACACGGCACACTCATGTTCTCGCTTTTATGTCTGTGTCTTATACAACTCAAGCATACCTTAAGGTAGTAATCGATCACGTGGGACCCGGGCCCTCGACAAGAATTTACTGTCAGGTATTTAGTGGCTTTTGTGGATGGCTTTTGTCATCCACAAAATGAGGTCACGTCTAGCTTTTCATCAGAAGTCTTAGTGGGGTTTATGGAGGAGTGAAGAGGATTATAATTGTGTCATGATTTGTAGTAATGATTTTATATACTGTTCATTTTGGATATTCTTGAATGTTAATTTAGCATGAAAAGCAAGTACAAGTAGCCTACTTTTCTTTTTTTGCAAACATAAATACACGCCGATTAGTGCATATTCAGGCTAAATACTTTGCAGGCATGCAAGTTGCAGACAAGTTATTTTCAGTCATTTTGTCAGATGAAAATTTTAATTTATATCACATTGTAACTCTTTTGATATATTTGCATATAAAAAATATTCCAAAGACAAACTGTAGATGCATTTATCACATGAAATTCAATGCAATTCAATACAACATATTTAATACCATCTTTACAGGTGAAGTGTGTCATTTCTAAACCACTTCAGTGGCACTAAACAAAGAATCGCAAAAATAAGATTTAGGAACTATAGGTCTATAATAAATATCTATTAACATCCAAGCCAGGAAGGTGTTTTATCTGCTCCAATAATTTCCTTATGTTTGAAGTCATATTTATACACATCTGAGCCAACAAAGAAATGAAGACAACCTGAAAAAAAATGGCTAAAATGGTAAAAAATGGTAAATGGCTGCACTTATGGGTCCACTTATTCCTGGGAAATCATGAGAAATGTTCCGCGGGCTTGAGTCATCCATTGTCTTGTTGTGTTCGTTATACCTGAGAAAAAGCATTTTCAATGTCATTCACATTAAAGCTGATATTGGTGATACATTGCTATGGTCTCTCTAGGGTTCACCTCCAGTACTGATGTTGGGTGAAGAATAGGGTGTGTACAGTTTTGTGAATGTGGACCGCAGCATCTATCTGCTCTACCCATGACGGGAACCCCAGACTGCTGATGTTTTTCGCTCTGCCTTTTACTTGGGATCCTTTCACTGTCCAGAAAATCGTACCTGTGTTGAAGTAGCACTGAGAATGAATGTTGTTTTAAATCTTGAAGGCAATACAGAGATGCACAATGTAAAACCATGTCTGTACCGTTGAACAGATATGCTGTTGACCGCTGTGGGACCCAATAAGCAGCGTCAATCTGACAATCAATTTTTGGCATAAAATTGCTAATGGGGCCTTCCTTTATATCATTTTGATTGTTGTGCTTGATCCACAAGTACCTAAAAGGATACACAGAGTTATATGTAATTTAATAACCCTATTTAATAAAAACTGTATATGTGATAGCTTATATATATATATATATAGGAAGTATCAACTATTGTCTTTTCCCCCTCCGTTATTGTGTTTAACCCACTTCATAAGCTTCATTTTAACTTATGCTTAGGATAGGGAAAAATCTGTTGCATTTGTATATTTTCATTGTTTTACACCAAAGTGTTCTTTGACATGTTCAATTGCAAACATTCACATTAGACAAAAACAAATGAAATTGTATTTTAGCTCATGAATGCATGAATAGATTGATTGAATAAAACACACCAGTTACTAATGAAATACTTGATAGAGAGAATGGACGATGACAGAAAATCTCACATAGAATTGTGAATTTTCCTCTCTAGTTAATTGAGAACAAACAAATAAACATACAGTACTAACCCAGTTGCATTAAAAAGGTACAAATGCAGGACTTACTGTTGCCAGGGACAGGTCATTCTAAGCAGGTACCGATCCATCATCTTCAAGTGGTAAAGGTACTGGACTGACCAAAAATGCCAAAGGCACAAACTAGACAGAGCAAAACATACATCTCCCCTCTACAGACCACAGAAGCTTCTGAATATGGCCAGTCCAAGGAGACATTGAAAGTCTTAGCTGATGTGAACCCTTTTTAACGTGACTCAAACAACGCCAAAACCAGTAAAACCTCAAGCTTAGGGAGTGGTTTGCTCTGGTCAAGAAAAGAGGGATCCTTTGTAAGAGGGACGTGTCAAATTATAGGCATCAAAGGAGGCATTTACCTAAAACAAAAAAACAATTCCTAGATTTCACATGGGATTGTCTGAGTGATATCCATTATCCTGCAGTATTTCATGGCCAATGAAATGTATCTCCATCATCTGCTGTTTGTTGGCGAGAATAGAATAAATAAATATAAAAACATCTGGAAAATGTTTTTTTTTTCCTCCGCCATAAATAACCCTAATATCAACGATGTTTTGTACACTGGAGTGTTACATGTAGTATATCTGGTGATCTGGACCATTTATATTCATGATGTGGAGTTATTTCCTTTCCTTGAGAATCTGGCAGAAGTCTAGGCTAATTGTGTAAATATTTTAAACAATCTTGTTTTCTTTTCTTTACTTGAATTTAAATGCTTTCATTCAGTTCAGTTTTCATTTCATTCAGTTTTGAGACCAATCAGAGAGTCATAGTATTCAGTATTCAATTCAGAGTAGTCATGTCTTTGAAGGTTTATAAGTTATAGTTAAAAAAATCTCAATATGTATAGGAAAATGAATGCGATCCTGACAATTGCACTCTATCAAACTGCTCATCCACAGGTGATACTTTCATTGTATTTCACCATGAATTCACTCACTCATTTCATAAAAACACAACTATCACAAATTTTGGGGTCTATGTTATCAACTAGTGAAAATGACTGCATTGTTAAGACGTTAATATTTATGTTTTTGTAAGTTCGTATATTATGGGCTGAAATATGTGCCACCAGAAACTGAATTTGAACCATTTATATTGAATTTGAATGGCTAAACTTGAATAATTGCATTGAAAAACTGGATTTAAATCACATAATTTGAAATTGTATTGTTTAATTAAAATAGAATTTATTCAAAAACTGAATCTGAATTGTATAATTAGAAACTGAATTTATTTGATTGGAACTGAAGTCCAATAAAATTTGATCCTCACTGAAAATTAAACTTTCAAGTTACTGAACTGAGGCAGACATCCGGGTAGTTGGAGGATGAAGGAAGAGCAATCGAGCGCAGATCGATAGATAGCGTTCATTGGCGCACAGAAGCACAGGACTCCTCTTGGGCCAATCAGCACCAATGTTTTGCAGCACAGTATGTTACCCGCCATGAAACGAAGAAGTGCTTGCCTGTCTGACTTGCCGACTGGCGTGAGTCGTGGATTCGGCTGGGACAAATACGGTAAGGACTGTTGTTAATGTTATAACGTTAGCTATTTTGTAGAAACGGGGGAAATTAAATCTTTCTCCCGACGTTGCTAATGCTAACACAGTTGTTAGCTATAATCCCACGTTTTTGTGGTAGCCTACTACCTCTGGTAACAACATTTTTGCCTGGTGTTTATTATTTTTAAGCGTTTGCCTCTTCCTCCGGTGAAAATGTTGTTGCAAACGTAACGTTAGCTAGTGTTAGCCGCCGCCAAGTAGACCGGTCATGTCTTGACTGATGGTCTTCAAAAAAAGTAACAATTCTGGTCTTCGGGGTCTATTGGACCCCAGACAATATTATTTAATTTTGTAACAGAATAGTATTTTTTTTTTTACAAATATAATTTTACTCTGTTTATTAATGTTTTTACTCAACATTTGTGTAGTTTTTGGAGGATTTATGATTTTTTAATTTATTTCTATAAATAAATAAATAAATAAATATTTATTTAAATATGATTTTTACAAAAAAAAAGCATTTTATGTTAAATAAACTTTATAAATAAGTCACTTTATCCACTAGATGGCTATAGAGCTCCACTAGATGGCTGTAGAGCTCCACTAGATGGCTATAGAGCTCCACTAGATGGCTATAGAGCTCCACTAGGCCTATTAACTATTTGAATTACTGAAAGATATAGTTTCTAAAGTTGGATTTAGTTGGATTCATATCTAAATATTGTAAAATCACACTTATAACAAAAATAAAATACTTTTTGTCAAAGTTTAGCATTTGTTTTTGTACTGAAAAAATAACAGTTTTTCAATAATGTTACATTATGATTAGAATCAAACCTGAACATGTTACAAAGAGAAATGTTGGAGTCTTAAGATTTGATCATTTATTTCAACTGAACAGCAATAACAAATGAGCAAATAAAGCAGTAAAAAAAATATTTGTAAAAAAAAAAAAAAAGTAAATTGGGAAGAAAATCGAATAACTAGGAACAATAGTTTGGAACAATAGAACAGATGGTCTCATTTTTTTTTTTTTTTATAGCCTTACAAATGTATTCCTGTGTGTGTGTGCACATTTTCAATGTGTCTTAGTGTTACCAATTTATTTTTGTGGTGGTTCTGCATTTTAGAGTATTTTATTTTACAAATGATAAGCGAATAGTTTTTATAGTCTGTATGTATTCCTGTATATTGTATTCCTCTCTATGTGTGTGTTTGTGTGTGTGTGCATGTGTGTGAGCATGATAATTTTGGATTGTGGATGTTTTTTGCATTGTTGGAAGTGTGCCACTTAATTTCTGTCATTTCTGTCTGTGTTCTGCGTTATTTCTGATTTTGATGATGAATTGTGTCTATTTTGAGTCCAATGATAAATAAATATTTATTTATTAATTTATAGATATTTAAAAGATATCATAAATCCTCCAAAAACTGCACAAATGTTGAGTAAAAACATTAATAAACAGTAAAATAATATTTGTATACAAAAAAAAAACTATTGTTCTGTTACAAAATTAAATGGTATTTTTTGGGGTCCAATGGACCCCGAAGACCACGAGTGTGACTATTTTTGTCACGCCTACATAAAAACAGATAGAATTCCATTTTAATTTTTTTTTTTTTTGTAGATCTTGACAGTGTTGAGAGCCGTAGCAAGTTTCATACCATTTGGAAAAAGAGAACATTTTCAAAATTCATTTGGGGTCTAACAGACCCCGAAGACCATCAGAGGGTTAAATGTGATTTTATGTTTTCCCCCCGATAACTTCTCATCGTGGTTGTCATTGTCAGAGTAACGTTACTGCTTACAGAGAGAGAGAGAGAGAGAGAGAGAGAGCGTGTGAGCGTGCTAGCATAATGTAAGGCCATAAACTTCAGGGCAATTACAGTACACCATAGCACTAGCACTATTCATTTGAATTGAATGCATAAGTTAGCTAATTCCGTTTGACTAGAACACAAAAATAGCACATTTACACTTCGAAAGAAAGCTGGATGTTTTGTTTAATTAAATTCATTAGTGTATATGGTATTGTGGTCTATAAATATAGTGCCTATTTTATTAATATTTTGTTTTATATTGATATAGCTAGCCATTTACTTGAATAACTTTTTGCAATATATTTTCTTTGGAATATGGAAAACATCCCACTTTGTAATTTTTTATTTGGTAATATTTAAGTTATTTATATTGTTTTATGGGTTAAGTTGATGTATTGTCTTTTCCAACTTACTGCTGAATTTATTTATTTTGACAGGGAGACAACTCAGAAGTAGTCAATTCAGCAAGACACCTCCTAAATTTGCTCACAAATGCAACACCTTCCCCTGGTCTTGTTGGGTCCAGTGCCCAACACAGAGCTACCCCTGTTGGGCCCAGTGCCCAACATCAAATTGGCCCAGAGACTCCAAGGTGTTGTCTAGTTTCTCAACAAATAAGATAACTCACACACCCAGATTAACATGTATAAAATAATGTGTTTCATCTCCTGAACACGGCATGCCATTCTAGCAGACAGGGAAGGAGTCAGGAAAGAGGGAGAGATGGCTGACCCAGTGTCCACACAGAAATGACAAGGTTCTTCATTGTATTTGGTTTCTTTGTCAGACTGACTTGTCCCTTACATTCATCAATTTAAATTCTCAAACTATAGCTAGTGAAATTTGTATTGTGTTATGTCAAATTAATAAATTATCATCACAGGTCTTTTCCTGCCCTTTTTGGAGCCAGGGGAAAGCGCCGGCACGTTCAAGGGCATTCCAACCATTCCACACCAGTCAAAGAGATAGAAGTTTTATCTCTTACCCAAAATTGTTGAGCGCACTCCCAAAGGCATTGAAGAAGTTTTCCATCTGCAAGCTGGTTTGGGACGCAGGTCCACGCTGATGCCAGAGAACTACACCCATGATGAGGTGAGGCAACATTTTTTTTTTGTCATATAATGTATGAATATAGTCCACTATCAAAACCATTGTTCGTTTGACAATATGATGGTATGATTTACACTACCGGTCAAAAGTTTTAGATCGGTAAGATTTTTTATGTTTTTAAAAGAAGTCTTTTCTGCTCACCAAGGCTGCAATTATTTGATAAAAAACAAAACAAAAAACAAAACAGTAATATTGTGAAATATTATTACAATTTAAAACAACGGTTTTATGTGTGAATATATAGTGAAGTGTAATTTATTCTTGTGATCAAAGCTGAATTTACAACATCATTACTCCAGTTTTCAGTGTCACATGAGCCTACAGAAATTATTATAATATGATGCTCAAGAAACATTTATGATTATTATCCATGTTGAAAACAGTTTTTTACATTTTTATTTCAGGATTCTTTGATGAATAGAAAGTTCAAAAGAACAGAATTGATCTGAAATGGAAAGCTTTTGTAACATTAATCACTACCATTCAAAAGTTTGGGGTCAGTAAGAATTTATTTTTTATTTTTTGGGGAAAGAAATTAGAAAATACTTATTCATCAAGGATGAGTTAAATTGATCAAAAGTTACAGTAAAGACATTTATAATGTTAGAAAAGATTATATTTTAAATAAATGCTGTTCTTTTGAACTTTCTATTCATCATAGAATTTTGGGGGGAAAATGGTACACAACTGTTTTCAACACTGAAAATAACAAGTTATGTTTTTTTGAGTATAAAATCAGCATATTAGAATGATTTCTGAAGGATCATGTGACACTGAAAACTGATGTGTAATCAGCAACAGCAATGATGGTGAAAATTCAGCTTTCAAATTAAATTTTAAAATATATTAAAATAGAAAAGTAATTTTAAATTGTCATAATAATACACAATATTACTGTTTTGTCTTTTTTTTTTTTTATCAAATAAAGCAGCCTTGGTGAGCAGAAGAGACTTCATTTAAAAACATTAAAAAAAATCTTACTGATCTAAAACTTTTGACCGGTAGTGTATATTACTCTTGAAGGTATGTTCAACCGTCAAAGATCTTTATCCAAAACTGGAAAGTGTGTCTGGGGGCTGGCTGATTT